ATATATATACATATATACAGTATATGTGTGTGTGTGTGTGTGTGTGTGTGTATATATATATATATATATATAGTGACAGAATTTTGAAATTTTTTTCCACTGAATCATGAGACCGGCAACAATGTGACAGAGAAATCAATGCGACACGTGTCTGTGTGGCCTCTCTGCAGCTCTCTGTGGCGGTGACCTGCCCGGCCCCGGCGGCGTTATCCTGTCACCAAACTGGCCCGAATGGTACGGGGAGGGCGAGGACTGCAGCTGGAGGATTCACGTCGGCGAGGACAAACGCATCCTGCTGGACGTGCAGCTGTAAGTCCTTCTGGAACATTCTGTTCTGACAATAACAGCAAAGTCTGCAGCTGATGCATCAAGCTGCTGCTGCTGAAATCGAACGAAACCCACAGACCTGCTGGATGCGATGACTCACCAAACCGCCTGAATGACTCATTCATTTTCTCATTTCCTCCCACACAAACCCCTCACCTCTCGCCGACTGTCTCTTTCTCTCTCTCTCTCATTAGCTTGAATCTGAGCGACAGTGATATGCTAACCATTTTGGATGGGGATGAGGTCACAACACGTATATTGGGGCAGTTTGTTGGGGGAACCAGCCCGTTTAAGATGTCCTCCTCGACCCCTGACCTCACCATCACCTTCCACTCAGACCCAGCCGGCCTGGTCTTCGGGAAAGGAGAGGGTTTCATCATCAACTACATGGGTAAGGACACTCGAGCTAATTGCAACACAGTCAAAACACATAAATTAGACTCAAAATTAGAGTCTCATGCATATTGCACTCAAACATGGCAAGAGTGTTCTCAAAACCTGATTGTCTGGAAGAGTTTTGTTTGCATAATAAGCAAGATATCTTTGAGAACACTTAATTACTTCATATTAACCTGCCCATAAACGTCATGTAAAACAGCAAACATTGGTTGGTCACTTGATATATGTGACCCTGGAGCACAAAGCAGTCTTAAGTCGCTGGGGTATATTTGTAGCAATAGCCAAAAATACATTGTATGGGTCAAAATTATTGATTTTTCTTTTATGCCAAAAATCATTAGGATATTAAGTAAAGATCATGTTCCATGAAGATATTTTGTAAATGTTCTACTGTTAATATATTAAAACTAATATGCATTGCTAAGAGCTTCATTTGGACAACTTTAAAGGCGATTTTCTCAGTATTTTGATTTTTTTTGCACCCTCAGATTCCAGATTTTCAAATAGTTGTATCTCGGCCAAATATTGTCCTATCCTAACAAACCATACATCAATGGAAATCTTATTTATTCAGCTTTTAGATGATGTATAAATCTCAATTTTGAAAAATTGACCCTAATAACTGTGATCCAGGGTCACATATTTTCTTTTGAGCAGTTCTTAAGGGAATTGCACTGTGGACCAGGCCAGTGTTATTTTAGTGTTATTTATACACGATTATAGTATTTATTAATTTTGAATTCGCTTTTATTTTCATTTGTTAATTTTACTTTGTTTTAGTAATTTTTATATGTGCTTTTCTCATTTTTATTCATTTTATTATATATTTCTATTTCTTTTTAATTTACATTTTTTTCTATTTTAGTACTTTAACTTAGAAATTTTGTAATGGCAAATAACTTAAATAAAACTTAGACGTAAAAAAAACTAAACTTTAACTTTTAAACTTCATCTAATATTTTATTTTATTTTATTTCCAATAATTTCACTACTTTATCTTTTTAAGAAATCAGAAATGTTGCTATGCAAAGAACTGAAATAAAATTAATTTAAGTTGAAGTACTTAAAATAGGTTATCTAATATTTTTATTTCAGTTTTAGTTTTAGTAATTTTAGTACTTCAGCTTAAACTTATTACAATTAATTGCTAAAGCAAAATTTCTCATTTTCATTTAAGGTTCTTAAGTTTAACTTTTTCGGGTTTATGTTTTTCATCTAATATTTATATTTTATCTAATTTTATAGTTTTAGTAATTTTAGTATTCCAGCTTAAACCTGTTTTATTTCAATTAGTTGCTAATGCAACATTTCTAAATTTCATTTAAGTTTTTTAAGTTTAAGTTTTTCTTCTAATAATGTCTAATATTTTCTTCTAATAATTTATTTTTATCTTCTAAATATTTATTTTTATTTTGAGTTTTGGTAATTTTAGTACTTCAATTTAAACATGTTTTACTTCAGTATTTTAACTTTCATTTAAGTTTAAGTTAGTTTTTCATTTAATATTTATGGTTTATTTTATTTTATTTTATTTCAGCTTTATTTCAGTTAACAAAAAGTCAACTAAGTTTTAGTTAACAATAACAACACTGGAGCAGACTTTATGTTGATAGTCAAAAGTCTGGCTAAACGAAATTAGTCAGTCACAGTATATAGACTAATTTAATTTCCCAACTAAAGACTAGCTTTATGCACAAACTTTCAGTCTTGTATGAGTGTCACGTAGACACAGAGAGAATCTCAATGCAACTCTTTCTTTTCAAATTACTTTAACCGATCCATTATGTTCTCAAAAGGTCAGCATGCATTTCAATCAATGGATTTTTTTTTTTTTGCACAGACGCAACTATCTTCAGCTGCCAAAAAAATCTCCCATCATCCTCTTCTCCTCCTCCTCTCCTGGCTGCCCTCATTCATTCACATTTAGTTTTGTCTCTATCCTCTCCCATAGGACACACACAGCACGTTAGCATGCAATCTCCAGTAATGGCTTGAACTAAAAAGACAGAGATACTCTTTTTATGTTTGTATAATGGTAGAGGATAAAGTTCCCAGCTGAATAAAGGTCACAGACGTGCTGTGAATTCACAATGGCGGTCGATTTGCTCTTGATCAAACTGCTCATGAACTGAGTGCATGTGGATTCTAAAGAAACCCCCATTAGCGCTGCGCTAAAATCGTACATGAACATCCAGCTATGTTAGGAATAACTGATCTGTTGGAAAACTGTTCTGAATGCCTTTTAAATAAAAAATTCATTTACTCAGGACTTTTACATTTATTTATGATTTTTTTTGCCAACTTCAAGATCTGAAATCTTATGAATAAAGAACTGAAAGTTTCAGAGCTGTGACATAGCGCTTAGAGCACATGCTCACTACACAACAAGCGGACACTTTTGTGTAGGTGAAGCAAGATCAACTTGACTTTTTGATTCCTGAAAGGCCAAAAATAATATAAAACTAGATCTAACATTTTCTAAAAATGAGTGAGTGGTCCTTGCTCATGCATAAGTCACCTCTGTAATGCTAGGGTGTTGTGGATGTTTAGGTGGTTACTTACTGGCCTAAGTCAATAAATTCCACCCTCATATAAGTCACATCTCTCCTTTAATGTGAGTTCATGGAATTTTTATTATCTGCTAGGCAAAAATTGTCCAGTCACTTAGAAGAGTAATAACACCTTTTAAATCAGATGTCATGTGTATATACAGGTGCATCTCAATAAATAACAGAATGTCGTGGAAAAGTTCATTTATTTCAGTAATTCAACTCAAATTGTGAAACTTGTGTATTAAATCAATTCAGTGCACACAAACTGAAGTAGTTTAAGTCTTTGGTTCTTTTAATTTTGATGATTTTGGCTCACATTTAACAAAAACCCACCAATAAACTATCTCAACTAATTAGAATACTTCATAAGACCAATAAAAAAAACATTTTTAGTGAATTGTTGGCCTTCTGGAAAGTATGTTCATTTACTGTACATATACTCAATACTTGGTAGGGGCTCCTTTTGCTTTAATTACTGCCTCAATTCGGCGTGGCATGGAGGTGATCAGTTTGTGGCACTGCTGAGGTGGTATGGAAGCCCAGGTTTCTTTGACAGTGGCCTTCAGTTCATCTGCATTTTTTGGTCTCTTGTTTCTCATTTTCCTCTTGACAATACCCCATAGATTCTCTATGGGGTTCAGGTCTGGTGAGTTTGCTGGCCAGTCAAGCACACCAACACCATGGTCATTTAACCAACTTCTGGTGCTTTTGGCAGTGTGGGCAGGTGCCAAATCCTGCTGGAAAATGAAATCAGCATATTCAAAAAGCTGGTCAGCAGAAGGAAGCATGAAGTGCTCCAAAATTTCTTGGTAAACGGGTGAAGTGACGTTGGTTTTCAAAAAACACAATAGACCAACACCAGCAGATGACATTGCACCCAAAACATCACATCACAATTAAAAGAACCAAAGACTTAAACTACTTCAGTCTGTGTGCATTGAATTTATTTAATACACGAGTTTCACAATTTGAGTTGAATTACTGAAATAAATGAACTTTTCCATGACATTCTAATTTATTGAGATGCACCTGTAGGTACGTGCATATATGTATTGATTTATTTTATTAATTTTACATTTGATATTTTATTTTTCATTATTTTTTTTATATTTATTTTTGGGGAGATTAATTTATTTTATCATTATTTACTATTTTATTTTTGTTGAGTGAGGGGATGGAATTGGATTGGTGACAATATTTTTTGCTATC